ATGTCAATTTGATTCCATATAGATAGTTCTTACAAAAGCATAATGCTCAAGGCAGACCTTTTTTACTAGTTAAGCTAAACTATTATCTGGTTTTAAGATGACTTCAGGGGATATTTTTGGTTTAAGGTTTAAAGATTATCTCAGGGCAATAGTTTCAGGGGTTCATCCACCCTACATGGCTCCAGAAAGTTTGCAGTCCATGAGAATTTGGACTGTACTTTTTAAAAGAAGTTTTATTGAGGTGTAATTCACATACCATGCAATCTACCCATCTGAAGTGTAAAATTCAATGGCTTTCACTATGTTCACAGAGTTGCACATCCCTCACCACAATCAATCTTAAAACATTTTTATTACACCAAAGAGAAACTCTACACTCCTTAGACATCACCCTTTGATCCCTCTATGCCTTCCAGCCCTACTTCTGTCTCTGTGGTTTGCCTATTTTAGGCATCTTATATAAATGGGATCACACAATATGTGGTCCTTTTGTAGCTTGCTTCTTTCACTTTGCATAATGTTGTCAAGGTTCATCCATGTGGTAGCATGTATCAGGACTTCATTTTTTCTTATTGTCAAAGAATTCCATTGTATTGATATACTGCATTCTATTTATCCATTCATCAGTGGATGGACATTTGGGTTGTTCCCACATATTGACTACTATGAATAATGTTACTATTAACATTTGTATGTAAGTGTTTGTGTGGATGTATACCTTGGGCATATATATACCTAGGAATGGAATTGATGGATCATATGCTAATTATATGCTTAATTATTTGAGAAACTGACAACTGTTTTCCACAGCTGCTGCACCATTTTACATTCCCACCAGCAGTGTAGGAATTTTCAATTTCTCCACATCCTTCTTGACACTTGTTATTACCTACCTTCTTGATGATACATATCCTAGTGAGGGTGAAATGGCATCTCATTGTGGTTTTAATTTGTGTTTCCCTGATGGCTAATGATGCTGAACATCTTTTCATGAGCTTATATCTTCTTTGGAAAAACGTCTGTTCAGCTCTTTGCCTGTGTTTTAATTTGGTTATTTATCTTTTTATTATTAAGACCATTTTTTACCCATTGAATTATCTTGGCATCTTTCTTTAAAATCAATTGACTGTAAATGTGAGGGTTTATTCTGAAACTCTCAAATATATTCCAACAATATGTATATAATGGTATTGTTGGTCCTATGGCATATAGAAATTTGCTTCACATTTTTTTGTTCTTTTATTTTTATATTTTATGTATGTTCTTTTATTTTTTATTTTTATTTTATTTTTTGTATGTTCTTTTATTTTTATCCTTTATGTATGTGTGTGTCTTTTCTTTTCTTTTTTTTTAAGTGTGTCTTTTGTAGACACCATGGTGTGGGTTTAAAAAAATTCAATCTGTGAGTCTCAATTTTTTTTATTACTTATTTTATACTAGATTATCTCCTATGCCATTTTAAGAAACTTTTTATTTACTATATATTTTTTTATCCTGCTAATCTGCTTTCCAATGGATAAGCTGAAGTTTCTTCTGCTGATTTTCACATTTTGTATTCACTTTTGTTCTTGTGGTTATTGTGCATTTAACTCCAGGCTCATTTTCATGCTTATTTACCCCTGTGGCTTCCATTTCCTGCCCAGATGGTGAACTAGCATGGGTTGCTAGCTGCTTCCCAGAATCCACACTAGATAGATTATCAAAGTGAAAGGCAAACTTAAAATTCCAGGAACCAGCAAAAAAATTATAAAACAAAAACTATGTGAAGTTCCTGGGATGACTGGAGGCTACAGGTTTGCTCTTGTTTGGGGGCAATCATTATTTAGCTCATCAAGACTGTAGAAATTGGCGGCAACTTCCAAGGCTGCAGGTAGCAGGGTAAGATCAGGGCAGTGTAAAATTTCTTCCAGAGAGAGGAGTTGATGAAAGCCAGTGTGAGTCCAGGGACTGCTTTCAGGCAGTTATAGGGCCCACCCAAATCTCTAGGCAAGGCAGTGTGATGGGTGGAGACTATTTGGGATATTGGATGGAGTGAATGTATTCTGCATTGGGACTTTGCAGATGTGATTAAGTAAAAAATCCTAAAATGGGGAGATTATTCTGAATTATCCAGGTAGACCCAATATAATCACAGGGTCCTTATAAGAGAGAGGCAGGAGGGTCAGAGTCAGACAAGGAGATGTGATGAGAGAAGCAGTGGGGTGTGAGTGTGTGTAAGAGAGAAAGAGAGAGAGAGAGAGAATGATTTGAAGATGATATGCCGCTAGCTTTGAAGATGGAGGAAGGGAGCATAAGCCAAAGAATGTGGCAGCCTCTAGAATTTGGAAAAGGAAAGAAAATGGATTCTCTCCTGGAGATCCCAGAAGAAATGGAGCCCTGTTGACACCTTGATTTTAGCCCAGTGAAAGCTATTTTGGACTTCTGACTTCTAGAACTCTAAGATGATAAATTTGTGTTGTGTTAAACCACTAAGTGTGTGGTAATTTATTACAGCAGAAATGGAAAACTATTATAGATGCACTACAATCTAGGTAATCTAAGGTTGCCTCATTAGGGTTTAAAGCTGAATCTCTCACCAGAAACATTACTTGGTGGAGTGGCAGCAAAACAAATGACTGCTAAGGATTCTAGGGTATGTGGGGCTTCGCCTTCCCAGACTACAGCCTTAATCCAGGTCACGATTCCAGACAGAGCAGGTGATTCAGTACTAAGTGCTGCCTTGACATCTGGTAAAATCAGGGGAGACTCAAGTTCCCCACCCTCTCTGCTCTTGCAGATAAGTTCCCCTAGCCAAACAACCTTCAGTTCCCTGCCAGCCAGTAGAATTATTCAAAAAAGTCAATCCCATCCTCCCTTGGGAACCAGGGGGAACCTCAGCCTCTTGTTACTACAAAGCTACTTCCCACAGCTCCTGCTTGTTCACTTTGTTCCCAAGTGCAAACCCTGTGTGGTCCTGTATGGAGTGCAGTGTCCTTTTTCCCTGGGCTGGGAGTATATGTAACTAATAAACTGCTATTGATCTCATCTGTCCAGTGTAAGGTGTCATGTGATTGGCCCTCGCCATAACCCTCAGGCATGTGCACAGTCAGGGTTCTCTCTAGCTAACTCTGCTCACGGGGCCAATTGTGCATAACTGTCCAGGGACATTAAGATCACTTACCTCTGATGCCAAACTGTGTGCTGGATAACAAATCCCACTCCACATGCCAGCTGCGTCATTTGGAAATCTCAGCTTCCCTTCCCTGTTCAGTTCAGATCCCAGCTGCTCCATGCAGCCTTCCTCTCTTTCATCCCCTACAAGCTGGGGCCAGGTTAGTAGGTACTGGCCTCAAGCTCAGGAGTCCGTATGACCCCCTCCACTTCAGACCTGCTGGCTCCCACGGCTCCTTTGGGTCTGATAATTCTCTGGGGTGGCTCACAGAGCTCACAAGAGACACCAAACCTGTGCTAACAGCTTTATTATACAAAAAAGGATGCAAATGAGAAGACACAGAGGTTGATGTCTGGGAGGGATCCCAGCACAGAGCTTCCACGTCCCAAAGAGGATGCACTACCCTCCTGTGCAAATATTCACTCTCTCCAATCAGAAGCCCTCTGACCCCTCATCTTCTAATGCCTTTACTGGCCTCACCACGTGGCCGTGATAAACTACATTGTGCTTCATGAGGCTTAGTATCGGGCCCCCAGCTTACAGCCTCCGGGCTCTCAGGAACTCAGAACAAAAGGCCAAATTACTTTCTGCACTTTACAATGGGAATCCCTCCCTCACCAACAGGGTGATGAGAAAGCAGACAAACACAGCTGAAATGAGGGAAATACATCAAGAGGCAGATTATTTAAATACAGTACGTTGTATTCGCACTCTGCATTGTTTTACAACCATTGTTTGCGAGGTAGAGTTATGCCCATGTGAAGTTTCCTGCACAGCCTGCGCAGAGCCCTTTCTCATGGTCAAGAGCTTATCAAGCCTTTGCAATGTCCCCATCTCTGCCCTGCCAGGAACTTGCTTGACACCAAGTCTGGATTTTCTCAGAGAAGCAGTATCTCTTGAGACCACAGGGCTGTGTGGTCTCTCCTCTCTCTAAGACCAAGGTGAAGGCACCAGGAGGCTGTGTGACCCATGCCCTGGGAGGACTGTGTCAGGAGGTGCCATTGGTACAAATGGATGGAGCCCAGAGGCTAGGCATTTAGAGAGCTGGGATCACAGTGCAGGTGGGCAGGAGACCGCTGAGGGGCCCTCCACTCTGAGGGAAGAAGCAGGAGGCATTCTGGATCTGAAGGCCATAGACCTGCGGGTGAGTGGTGCCCCTACTGGGGCAGGTCACAGGTGCTGGGATTACATCACAAAGGGACTGCTGTGTGACCTCCCAGCAGAGAGCAGACTCAGGATAAGATACAACAGAGATCAGGGCTGAGTTAGGCTTCTGACCAGGGCACAGGCATGAACTGAGAGTGCTGGAGACACAAAAAAAACCAAGAGGGTGGGTCAGTGGTCAGGGCCCAAGTACATAGGAAGGAAGAAGGGGCTCAGTGGGGTAGAGCAGACTGGAAAGTGCACAGAAGGGCCAGAGCCAGGAGACCTGGGGGGCACTGGGCCTTGAGGTGAGGCCCTCTCCCAGCAACAATTTTCACACTTTTTATAGGACCTAGACACGGATAACAAGAGTGGGTAGTGATACACTTACGATTCCATGTAGACGCATCTGGGTCCAGGTGGAGAGGAAGTTCCCCTAGAAATACATATCACACTGAGGATTAGAAAGGGGCAGAAGGGCCATAGCAGAGACTCCTTACCTGGCTTGTTGTGGGTGCTCTCCTTGGAAAAGAAGAGGAGAGAGCCCTAAGGGTGACCCTAGTGGCTCCGGCTTGGATGCAGCTGGGCTAACGCTGAGATAGGCACCTGTTGTGGTGACATTTTTGAAGCTATAGAGGCAGCAGCAGCTACCCTACCCAGAGAGGACGAGGAGGAGGCACATCTGTGCCCCGTTGACTTAGGGACCATGCCCAGACCTGGGTGGCCTTCCCTGCTTCTGCTGACTATTCTGGTGGCCCTGGTGGCCACCACAGACCCAGCCAAGAATCAGGTGAAGGTGTTGAGGAAATTAGAACACATCGATTCTTCAAATGCCAACGTGAAACAGTGTCTGTGGTTTGCCATGCAAGAATACAACAAACAAAGCGAGGACAAGTACGTCTTCCAGGTGGTCAAGATACTACAATCCCAGCTGCAGGTAAAGATGTTCTCTCCAAACAGAAGGACATTTACAGATGGTGCCACAGGTTGAAGACAGACTGAAAGAATGGGCATGTGATAAAAAGATTGATATACAAAAATCTTAAATATGTGAATGCTTAAGAACTTTGCATAATAACAATAATAGTAGTGCACACGTATAGCCCTGTATTTGTGTGCTTGGCTATTGTCCTAAGTACTTGACATATATTAACTCATTTAATCCCCAAACTGAAAATCAAATATGCATGATTTGCATTTGCTAAATTTGAGAGACAAATTGAGAACCGTGAACATCTTTCAATGATGCCATCATGGGCAACATTTAAACCTATCCATATATGGAGTGAAACCCTGGTGGTGCCATGGTTAAGAGCTACAGCTGCTAACCAAGAGGCCAGCAGTTCATATCCACCAGCCGCTCCTTGGAAACCCTACAGGGCAGTTTTACTCTGTCTTAAAGGGTCGCTGTGAGTCAGAATCAACTCTATGGCAACAGGTTTATACATGGAATACGGGATGGAAGAGAGACATATGGTGTTATCTAATGTATAGGTGAATAAAGTGCCCCCTTGGGAACATTTACATGCTTTTCAGCCACGGCAGCAGATGCAAGGAAGGGTAGTTGGGCAAAAGGAGTATGGCAGGCAGGTCCCTGGAGGCCAGCTCTGAGGTGGGGAGAGGCACAGGAGGGTTATCAGGATGGGACGAAAAGAAGCAGGACCGAGAAGAAAGAACTTGCAGTCTCCACAGAAGCCTCTGCCAACCCTGTGGAGTACTGAGAAGAGGGGTGACCCTTGAGAGATATCCCAAGTAGGGTGATAAGGCAGCCTGTTATTGGATGGTGGCCACCCTGGGAGGGCTGTCTGCTAGTGGCACCCCGAGAGCTGTGGGAATGAGTCCTTCATTATGAAAGGGGGTCCTGGGTGGGGCACTCCAGCCCCCATCAAAGGGAAGAGCATCCTTTTTATAGTATGACATTGGAAAGTATGGATCTTATTTTTCCAATGGATCAAGGTGTCTAAGAGGAGGTGTGACCTCTTCTAGTAAGGATAAAATATGTTAAAGTATGTGCATACATATGTAAATATACTTAAATATGCACCAATATTTATGTATATACTGATTTTTTTCTTATACTTCAGAGACAGTAAATACTGATCAGGTAGGCAATTTGTATTTTTTAAGGTGAAAAAATGTTCAAAACACTCTCATACTGTGAATTGAGCTATTTGCCGAGCATCTCTGTATCCGTCCTCCATCTCCTTCTCTGACTCTGACCCTTTTGCCTCCCTCTTATAAGGGCTTTTGATTACAATGGGACCACTCAACAGTCCAGTATAATCACCCTATTTTAAGACCTTTAATTTAGTCATACTGGCAAAGTCCCTTTTGCCATGTGACATAATGCTCACAGGTTCCAGGGATTAAGATGTGGACATCTTTTATTGGATTGTCTACCACAAGCCTATAGAAATGGAAATGCTTGGATCTATTAGACATTCAAAAGACTCTTGGAAAGCCTGCTTGCTCCCTGTGCATCCTTGTTGGGCAGACCATTCTAGTGCCTGAGGCATGGGGTGTGTTCACAGAGAGGACAGCTGCTCTGTGCTGGACAGAGTGCCTCTGGAGTCCCTGTCTTAGTCATCTAGTGCTGCTACAACAGAAATACCACAAGTGGATGACTTTAACCAAGAGAAGTTTATTTTCTTACAGTAAAGTAGGCTAAAAGTCCAAATTCAGGGCATCAACTCCAGCGGAAGGCTTTCTCTCTCTGTCGACCTTCTCATCAATGTTCCCCCAGACTAGAAGCTTCTCCGTGCAGGGACCCCAGGTCCAAAGGACGCGCTCTGCTCCTGGCACTGCTTCCTTGGTGGTATGAGGTTCCCCCTGTCTGTCTGTTCAGTTCTCTCTTTTATCTCAAGAGATTGCCTCAGGACACAATCCAATCTTGTAGATTGAGTCCTGCCT